AATCCAGGACTGGCTCCCATCCAGGCTCTTCTGGACGGGAAAAATGGTAACTAGCTCGTATTGTGGGATAAAAACATAAACCGGATTTGCTAAGCGCAATTCATTGTATAGGCTAAGTGGCAGTCACTCACTATGATTCTGATGGTTAGTTGGAAGTGGAGCTTTATTCCTCTGAGCCCGCATCTCTATTTACACGGAGAAGACGTTGATTGAAACATTGAATAATCCCCGTGAATTTCACAATGAAATTCAGTCGAAATCCCACCCTTGAATCGGATACGCGGCTCAATCCTAAGTAATTCGCTTACGGCAGTTCAAACACGGTATCCTTTTTTGAAGGTTTTTCTGAGCGAGGGTCTTTCAAAAGAATCTGCAAATATTGCCCGTGCGGTCCGGGAAATGATGCATTAAAAATGAAAGGCATAGGCGTTTCAGTGGGGATTTTATGAAGGAACAGATCTCTGCTTCCAGAGGAGAGGTTTCATAAACTCACTCATAACATCGGGGATACTATCATTGTTCTTCAACATATGTACATTTGTGCTGGCAATCGATCGCACGCTCGGAACACTGGTGCCGTACTCATTCCGTGAAGGTGACATAGACAATGTATCGAGTAGAAGAACGCAGATCGCTGATAGTTTGACAAGTGTTTGTTGTGTTGATCTGAAACAAGACCGAGAAATTCCTTTCGGAACATTCCATTCCGCTCAGCGCGAGGCTGTTCGGCAAATCGAACTGTTCGCCTTGGTCACGTTAAGGTGAATGACCCTGATATAGGGTAGGCGCGATCAGCGAAATCATCAGCAGTTAACCCACAGTGCACTGCGTACGGGAAGCATATGATGGTATGAATAAGGTCACTCACGCTTTGGAAGTTGAATTCGCGAATAGTAGTGGAGTTCGTTGCCTCATCTCGTGTCATCACAACTACCGTATCACGCTTCCGTCTGACACTGGTGGTCAGCGACTTCTGAAGGAATATTGCTGTACTGCTTAGAATCATCGAGGTGATATTTGAAAAAAAATAAGAATTAAAAGGAAAGGTATGCACTGGTTTTTCAGTTGTCAGTAACAAAAACGATTGTAAGTTTACGTTCAGCGAGTAGAAAAGAAATTATAACTAAGAAACCACGAATGACATTCTGACAGCTTTTGATGCCATAATAACTGGAATCCAGCTAATGCACAGAAAAAGAACAAGGTATGTAAGAGACGTATGTCCTCCCCCTATACTTTTATTTGAACCACTGTTGATTTTGACGGTCAAAATTTCATTTACTTCTGGGAACCATGTGACGCATTCATTTCGTCCAGCCAAGGACCCCGATGGCAACCTGACGGGAAAGAGACGCACCCTGCACTTATACCTCGAAAAAATCCCAAAGGAAAGGCACTAGTTTCGGAGCGATTAGCCCGGACACTTAACCTTTTGTTCATGAAAAGCACAAGTGTATACAGTCGCTGATGACGTGCTCGTCCGGCCAACAGGGCGTGGCTAGTGACAATGGGCGGGGTTTGTGTAGCAAGGCTGACCCTAAGAATCTCTTCTTTTTGCTTCCATTAACCTTTTCGGACCACTTCAGCAATATGAATCGCCGCCTCAAGGGTCCGGTTAAGACAAGTATGACGACAGGTAGAAGAATCTTCCCCGATACTAATTTTATGAAAAAATTATAAAGCAGAGAGGAAATCCCAAGTGTTATCAGAATCAACAATAAGCATTTCAAAATTCTCACCGGTATGGCCGATTGCTCTTCAGGAGGTTGAAGGTTAAGAGCTCCCTAAAGCAGTAAGAAATATTCACGGACTTCTTGAACTCCAAAAATTAAAGCAAAATCTCGTAAAGTCATCATACCCTATCCTCTCGTCGAGTTCGGTCTGCAGGTTTTTCCGTGGTACCATCAGGATTCACATAGTCAACGTCATCATCGATATCTCCAAATTCCGAGTAATCACCATTCAAAAGCGGAACACCACTGCAATTCGCATAAAATCAGAGAAAAAGAAGTTGAGTGATTTGTGAGGATAACTCACATATCACCTCCCATAAGTGGGAAGTTGGGAATCTCCTTGTAGTAGACGGTGTAATCAACGACAGGAAAGTTCTTGTTGGATTCATGGACGGGTGGTGGTCGCCAGCAGACAGACAGCTTATCATGTTCAACGGCATTCACCAGTACTTGCTCAGGAGGATCGGGGAACGGCACTGGAATATGAGGATGGTATTCAAGTTTTTACTCCTACTGAAAGTTTTATAGGTATGTAGAAATACACATAAGCCCCGACTAGAGCACGAACGTAGGAAAAGTGGTGGAACTCTAAAAAGAACTCCATTTTGAGTGAAGACAAAACTGCAACTAGAGGAGACTATACAGTTACATGAAGCGAAGTTCCGGAATTCCTTGTTAATCATTGTGCCAACAATAAGAATTCCGTCTAAAGGAGTAATGAGAACTCAAAGAAGCGATGAGATTCGATCTAACACTACGACGTTCTCAAGCATTTATTCAAGGCGACATGCAAAGTTAACCATGCAAAAATACATAAATCAACAAAAGGAACAGCATCGGGGAAGTGGCAGGTATGAGTTAAACCCGGCTAAACCGAAGAAAACATGCACTAATATAACGAAAATGGGCAGAATCTTTGGAAAAACTTCCTTGGGTAAATTCCGCGTAACCAGTAACACATGCGGACAATCACACCACTGAAATAACATGCAAAACACAAAAACTAAACTACTAAACTGAACTTAATGAAGCAGTTCTCATATCTACGACTGATACCACAATTGAGGCCATAGTGTGCTTCACACCATGGCTACAACCGTTCAGCTGGTACCGTTGTGGTACCCATATCATCTGGGTGTTGTTCTTGAATACTTGGGGAGAACCCCATCAAAGGGTCACTGTCTTGACCTCTGTTAGCATCTAAAGAGGGATTGTGTAACATACGGTAAGCTCGATTGTAGCACTCGAAAATCTCCGGTAGGTAGTAGAGGCACAGGCGATGAGATCGACGCAACATCTGTAAAATCGAAAGCTCTTGTTGTTTCTCAGATAAAAGGATAAAGGATAAAGTCTTCGCCGTTGATCAATCCCTTTGTGGGATGCGGCACGCATTCTACTTCCATTCAGAATCGTAGTGGCTTATTGAATGCGATGTGGCCTATACAATGACTTGCGGTGGCCAGCCGATGTACAAGTCAGTGTTTTATCCTCCCAGACGAATC